GAGAGTCATGTCGGAACTCTACTTCTATTCATTTTTATTCATTGTTAATGAGAACAGATAGGTCAAGACAAAAGAAGATTTTGATAGGAATTAAGGGATGAGATATCTCATCTTGTATCATTTTAGGAAATTCTCTAGAATTTTGGGTCACCTCCCCACAATAAGGTCTTATCGCTCTACTTCCCAAAATCAGAACCCGAAAGAATCAGTTCCTTTGGTAGCTAAAATGCTCTGCTATAAACTGTGCTTGCATTCAGATATTCTTTTTTGTTACTTTGTATTTAGTAATCTATGTCCTTAGATGTCCTTAGTTTTGCACAGATTATATGTTTCCTGATAAAAACAAAAGTATATTTTTACTTCAAGGTATTAATGCAATAAGAAAGCAACATAAGCATCACATAAAAAACTTATCCACAGGGCTGATTTTTGCCTCCTAAATCTACTAAACCCTCACTGAGATTAGCTATGTTTTAATATGAATTATCTCACCAGGATCACGATCTGAATACCAGAAGACAATTGGAAGAAATTCCTTAACAACTCAAGTACTCTGAGCATTAGTAGTTAAGCATCAGCGCTCAAACATACAGTACTCATTCTCTTGGTTCTGAGAGAGGAAGTATCATCACAATAGACAAGAGTATGTACTCTGGCTCTAAAATGCAGGTATTCTACAACAACTCTCTATTTTACTAATTACTACCCTGGAAAATAGTCAAAGCTGCAATGTAGTAAGAATTGCAATGCTAGTGTCTACTTCATATGTTTGATACGAAGATTTAATGAATAGGTAACTGTTTAGTATATATTAAATTAATTTTAGAAAATAATTTTCTAAAATATAGAATACTAGTTTTCGATGTCATACTGGGAATATGGCAATAGAAAAAAAAGGCAGATTTTTTTTATAATGAATAATTTCTCCTGTAACTTACTAATGAAGAATTCCTATTTTTCTTCTCATATCCAAGCCTGGCTGACTTAATCCTTCTCTTTTATGAGGAAGCAATCTTATTTATCACTTTAAAATAAAACCAAAACAAACAAATAAGAGTTATGGAATTATTGAGCTGAACCTATATACTGCTCACAATGTAAATATATACATACCACACAAAAAATTCAATTCTCATATTGATCATATTTTATAAATTAAAACATTGAGATTCATAAAGTTATTAGCTAATGAGCAAATCATCAGCTTGTCAGCATCCTGTCTTTTAAGGTGGTAGGTGTATTGGGCTGAGATTTACATTTGTGGCAGAGTGCCTGCCTAACATGTACAGTCACCTATATCACAATAAAACAAGTGAGGAGTTTCTGAATATAACTTGAAAGGCAGAGAAAAAAATGACAGAAACAGAGATAGAAGAGGCAGATATATCTCCATGAAGTTGAGGAGAGGCTGATTTAAGAGTTCCAAGTCAGCTAGGGCTACATAGTGAAACCCTGTTTAAAAAAAAGTCTCAACTTCAAAAAACAGAGTATCACATTTTCTCTATCCACTTATCAGTTGAGGGGCATCTAGGTTGCTTCCAGGTTCTGGTTATTACAAATAATGCTGCTATAAGCATAGTAGAACAGACATCCTTGTTGTATGAATGTGCATCCTTTGGGTATATGCCTAAGGGTGGAATTGCTGGATCTTGTGGTAGACTGATTCCCATTTTCCTGAGGAATCTCCATACTGATTTCCAAAGTGGCTGTATGAGTTGGCACTCCCACCAGCAGTGGAGGAGTGTTCCCCTTTTTCCACAACCTCTCCAGCATAAACTGTCATTGGTGTTTTTTATTGTAGCCATTCTGACAGGACTGAGATGGTATCTCAGAGTTGTTTTGATTTTCATTTCCCTGATAACTAGGGATGTTGAGCACTTTCTTAAATGTCTCTCAGCCATTTTAGTCTCCTCTATTGAGAATTCTCTATTTAGATCTGTACCCCATTTTTTAATTGGATCCTTTGGTGTTTTGGAGACTTGCTTCTTGAGTTCTTTGTAGATTTTGGAGATCAGCCCTCTGTCAGATGTGGGATTAGTGAATATCTTTTCCCATTCTGTGGGCTGCCTTTTTGTCTTGTTGACTGTGTCCTTTGCCTTGCAGAAGCTTCTCAGTTTCAGGAGGTCCCATTTATTAATTATTGATCTCAGTATCTGTGCTACTTGTGTTACATTCAGGAAGCAGTCTCCTGTACTGATTCCTTCAATGGTGCCCCCCAATTTCTCTTCTAAGAGGTTCAGTGTTACTGGATTTATGTTGAGGTCTTTAATCCATTTGGACTTAAGTTTTGTGCATGGCGATAGACATGGATCTAACTGCAGTCTTCTACATGCCAGCATCCAGTTATGCCAGCACCATTTGTTGAAGATACCTTCTTTTTCCATTGTACAATTTTAGCTTCTTTGACAAAACCCAAGTGTTCATACATTTGTGGGTTAATATCAGGGTTTTCAATTCAATTCCATTGGTCTACCTGTCTATTTTGTGCCAATACCAAGCTGTTTTCAGGACTATAGCTCCAGTGGATAGAGAAAATGTGGTACATTTACAGAATGCAGTACCACTCAGTGGGAAAAAAAAAACAATGGAACCTTGAAATTTGCAGGTAAATGAATGGCACTAGAAGAAACCATCCTGAGTGAGGTAACCCAGTCACAAAAAGACAAACATGGTATGTACTCACTCATATATGGATTTTAGACATTAATCAGGGGAGTGCCAACCTACAATCCCACTGTCAGAGAGTCTGGGAAACAGGAAGTACCCAAAGAGAGATATGTATGGTATCCCAGAGATGGTGGAATGAGGCAAAATCTCCTGAGAAGATTGGGACCATGGTGGGGAGGGGAGAGGAAGCCAGGAAAAAGAGAGGGGGAGAATAGGGAGAGGAGGAGCAGGAAAGTTGAGTTGGGGGAAGAGGAGAGGAGAGCAGTATAAGAGATACCATAATAGAGGGAGTCATTCTAGGTTTGAGAGGAGATCTGGCACTAGTGAGATTTCAGAGATCTACAAGGATGATACCAACTGGCAAACCAAGCAATAGTGGAGAGACTACCTTAAATGCCCCTCCCTGATAATGATTTTGATGACTATCTTATACAACATCCTAGAACCTCCATCCAGTGACAGATGGAAGAAGAGGTAGACATCCACAGCTAAACACTGGAACCCAGTGACAGAGAGGGAGGAGTGATGAGCAAAGGGGTCAAGACTGGACTTGTGGAACTCAGAGAAACAGCTGACCTGAACAAGGGGGAGCTCATGGACGCCAAACTGATGGCTGAGAGGCCAGTATGGGACTGATCCAGACCCCCTGAATGTGGGTGTCAGTGAGGAGGCTTAGACAATCTATGGGGGGGGCTGGTGTGGAGAGAAGGGAGAGGGAGCTAGAACTAACATGGGAAGCCAGCTTGTTTCTAATTTAAATATATAATAAAAAAGTGTTAAAAAAACAGAGTATCAGTCTTCTCATTATAGGTAGCATATGGTTTGGTGGTAAAGCCAAGACGTGTACTTGGAAGAACTAATTTGGAATTCCTTTTCTACTATTTAATATCTTTGTAATATATTAACCTATATATAAAGAGTTGCTATGAGGAGTAAGACACATTAACTTTGAAGACACTAAACATCATAAACATTCATCATTGTTGCATTTCAAATTATAAACTCAGTCAAATTCATGTCTATATGTTAATACAAGTGCATTACATATTATTGTATAATAACTCAATGGTTTAAAAAGCATTTAAAATATGTTTTGGTAAACTCTGAAGCATACTGTAAACCAAGAAGCTGTAAAAATTCCTTTAAAATAGTTCATCATAAGGATCATGGGATAATATAATAAAATACATTGTATACATACATGAAAGTCTCAAAAACTCTTAATTAATCCAACAATATTCCTTTGAAATGAAGACAAATCTGAACTTGATTTGTATATGCCAACTCATTTAGCTTTTATAGCATCTTTGAGAAGAAACCAAGTCACCGAAATTAGAGGAATTGCCCATAGTGCAGCTTAGAAACAGCTCCAGATACTGGGCCCATACCCAAGGTACTTTAACTCTAAAGTTTATGCTCTTGTGACTGTGTAAGGCTGGTTCTTCAGCTTTTTGGCTTGAGGTCCACAAAAAGCCAGGTATTCACTCATACAAGGCCAAAGAATAACTGCTTTCCTATAGCATAAAGCAAGTCAGATAACATGGTATGGTACCATGAGATTAAATCACCTCCAAATAGAAGATAATTTAATTTGGCATTTCTCCTCCCACCCCCACAAGAATAAAGTCTGTCATCCACTCATTAAAAAAATAGATGTAGGACTATTGAGACAATCACTAAGCCTAATGACTTGAGATCCATTTCCAGGACGCACACAAGTAGAGATCCAATTTCCACGAGTTGTTCTCTGACCTACACATAAATGCAATGGTAGCCCCCCTCACCATAAGAAAGCAAAACAAAAATAATAAAAAGAATATGCAAATTTTAGACTTTGAAAATAGAAAAAATTAAGAACATGTTTCGTTAATCTCCAGCCACATATTAATAAATACAATAAGGTATTTCACTAGAAATGCCTGAAAGGGCACCCCTTTCCAGTACACAGAATCCTTCATCAATATTTTTTTTTTCAGGAAACTTAGAGAAACTATTATAAACATAGGTCCTCTTAAAGAACTAAAGCAGAAATACAAAAGCTTTATAATCCTGACATTAAACATAATATACAAAGTAACAGAATTAAAGTATGTAAAACCTTTTATAAATTTGTGATCAATGGCTTTCCCCTTTTGTTAAATAAAAACCCTAGTTTGTTTATTTTTATTCTTATATATGTATATATACACACATATATACATAGACATACACATACATATGTAATCTTAGCCATCCCCATCCCCTACTCTCTTCCTCTGACTCCTCTTAGTTCTCCAGTACGTTTTTTCCTTACTAAAATACAATAGACTTCACCTCTATGCTCTGCTGCTTACCTGTTGCAGAGAATGCTAAGAGATCCATGTGGACTGCAGTGACATGGCAGGCAGAGACCAACAGTGTGATTCAGGTAAAAGCCCTCTTTGCAGGTTTCACAGTGAAGACCCTGATAACCTGGACGACACTCACACTGCCCTGACGTCTGGTTGCAGAACTTCACATTCAAGCTTCCAACCTCAGAACAGTTACATATATACTCTGAAAAGGGAAAAAAGGAGCCATTATCAAACCCTCATTTTTGTTAATAAACATTTTTGACAAATCTGTAAGGCCAGATAAAATTAACTCTAGTTTTGACTTCCTATACTATTCAGTTTATTTAAATTGGGAAATGTATACAGCAGAGTACAGAACACATAAATAGTTTAATTATAAAGCTGATATTCTCAGTTTGTTCTCGAGCACTCTTCATTGCTTACTTCTTTGCCCTAACCCACCACCCCTCTCTCTGTGTATGTGTGTGTACACTTACTTCTGAACTGAAGCCTCCAAAAGCTGGGTTATCTGCATGGCTCTTGGAGTACATGATGGAAATGATAACATGTTAAATAATAAATCATTCTCCTGTGAGCAGCAAAGGCCTAGGCTCAGGTGACTAAGTCTAGTAAGCTATACAAGGTCATATAAAACTGTGTCATAGCTGGAATCAGAAGTGTAATGCTCCAACAAGGAAATGGAGAATAAAAACTCAGATGTAAGGGAAGTGAACAATAAACCCAGAGATGGAAGTACAGACTCACCCTGATGAGAAACCAATCGCAAGTCAATATCTTTTCTAACTTAAAATATTAGAACCTAAGCATTTTCTTAGGTAGATTTCAAACAGGTTTTTTTTGGGGGGGGATGATTTAGAAATTCCTAGCTTTAGCCTTCTAATGCAAACACTTGTTTAGGAGTCTTTGCTAGTATTCTACTTATTTTAGCAAAGGGAGGGTATTTTTGATAGTATATTAACAGAGGAGTTTGCAAGCTTTTACAAAAGATGCCCTTTAAATCAACTGTAGGGAAAAAAATAAAATGTTGTATATATTCTACAGACCAGCTTCTTTCATTCCCAAATAGGGATAAACTGGGTGAAAGAAAAAACTATTTGTGAATAGTTAAGGCACTATATAAAATAGAATTACAATGATAAAAATTAAATTTGGGAAAAGTAATCTTAACATTATTCTCGATCATTTCAGAAAAAAATATGGCAGCAGCAAATCCAGAGTCTTACATAGGAAGTTATAAAGGCATTTAATTCTGTATTCTATAAAGAGAAACATGTTTAAAAATAGCATATCTACACAAATAAAAACAAAAGTCTACACACAATCCCCTTTTGGCTACCTCCCCCCGCCTTACTTTCTCAGTTTCTAAGCTTTAATATCAGTTCATTTTCCCCATTTCCTTTGAATCTGTAGACATAATGACTATACTAACGGATAATTTGTTTTAAATATTTCAAGCAGGGGTGGCAAACTATGAAACCTAACTGAGAGTTCAAATGTCTTTAGTCCCTAGATTAGGGAGAGGAATCAGCTTTACCTCAAAATCAGGATTCTTATTTTTGGCCTGATGATTGTAACTAGTGGAACACTTTCCTAGTATGTGTAAGGCCCTGGATGCAAGCCACATTAAACACACACTCACACACACCCATGCATGCACATACCCATATACTTCGGGTTTGTGGGTAGTTTTCTGAATATAAAGAAGCCACATTCAGTAGTTTGCAAACCTGTCATGGCAAGACCTCTGCTGGACCAAAACAAAATAAAATAACATCTGTCTTCTGGAATTGACAGAGGTCGAACATACATCCAACACTTCTTGCTGGATCAAGTTCCTTAAATGTTAAACTAAACAAATACTGCTGGACTGAACAGAAATGTCCCAAGAAAAATGAAGGTGAAGAAACCCTACAATAAATAGTGAAATTTTTAATGCTTCTTTACTAATAAAGGTTTTCTTATTTAAAATAAATCAGTGTTCTCAACAAACTATATTCAATTGGCATTATTTTATTTACTTTTTAGGACATATCTTTTTGTGAAATTATTTTATTATTTTATATGTATGGGTGTTTGCATGTATATCTGTGCACCACACATGTGCCTGATGTCTGCTGAGGCCAAAAGAATTTAGATTGGAATTACAGACAAGTGTGAGCCTCCATGAGGGTGCTAGGAATTAAACCTGGTCTTCTAGAAAAGCAGCAAGTGCTCTTAACTACTAAGCTATATCTTACTCCCCAATTAGCAGTGTTTTTTCTTAAAATCTAGTTAATCTAAAAATCTATATATTTTTAAAACTCAGTAATTTTTAGTAGAGTTCTAATGGATAAACCTTCAATGTCAAGATAACTGGCTATTTATTATTTCTATAGAGTAAACCCAATGTTTTCATTATTCCCTAAAAAGTCATCATGTCTATCTCTGGATCTTTGTTCATTTTGTGCTACATTCTCACATAATCAAATTACAGCTTCTATTTCAAGAAAAAGCTGAAATTTACTTTATCACTCTGAAACAAAATACTACATATTTCCTGTAAGGCTCATATGAGAGAAATTAAAGAGACAGCAAGGCAAAGAGACTGTAGAGCTGGCAAGCTAAGGTTTAAAACCCTGCCTTCTTACTTACTAACTGCATAGTCTTAGGCAAGTTACTATATTTTGCTTTCCTTTTTTCATCTGTAAATAGGGCAGAATAATAGCATTTGTATTATAGCTCCAAAATGGGGCCTGAAGTACTGTAATAACTAATGTAAGAATAGGAAAACGTTGGAAAGTGATACCATGCAAAATAGTACAAATGCAGTTCAGATGTTAGATTCATAGGAAACAGCTTTGTTATGCTCTATGGGTAAGATCATTTTTAGAAAATATCTGGAAAACAGAATTAGTACTGTTACAATTGTCTATATATAATGGGCAGTACTGATACATATGCCTATGATAAAGTGATGAGGGATTTAAGACAGTTTCAAGAAGAACAAAATGAATACATATTGATTAGACACCCTTAGTATTATGGTATTAGGCCATACTAACAGTAACAAAGCGAGTGACAAATATTTGAGCTCACAAGACCAACTCAATGACAGAAAAGACAATGATGCAATATCATGATAATCTCCCAAAAATAATCAAAGAAAGTAAGCTAGAGAAAATGTGAGAGGGTATTTGCATCTTTGTAATTATAGTTGAGAATTTTGGCATCTATCTCAAATAAAAATGGCACATACCAAATGAAAAATGAGCAGTTGCAATAAATAAGAAACATTGTGAGCATCCATTATGTCCAACTAATTTGGTAGCTTGTAAGAAAAAACTCAGACCTTTTACAGTTCTAGGCATTCATGTGGAACCATAGGATGTAACGCAGAAATTGTGCCATCCCCTTAATGGAAAACTCTATGAAAATGAAAAAAAAAAAGAAATTTCAGTTGATAAAGCAATGGGAAGGACCTGTATCCCAAAGCAACAGAGCAAGTACTGACTTTTAATGAGGTGAAATCACAGACATCAGAGTAACACAAAGGGGCTATAACATGATTAATGGTAAGTCACCAGTGCACATTAATGGGAATGAAATAACAGAAGCTAACCACAGGCAGTATGAAAAGCTCATTCAGTTTCCTTGGAGTGAATTCGGATTACTGTTTGTCAAAAGAGTAGCAGATTATATTCCAAAGCCTTGAAATTCTAGGGAAAACCTCTACAGAGACATAATTAGAAGGAGTAATGCAAGTGCTCACAGACAGATTACAATATTAGGCAACCTTTGGTTGTCTGGTTTCTGAAGAACAATGTTATACAGTAGTTTGAACCCTGAAAAACAAAACAAAAACGAAACCAAAATCTTGTTACCAAACTGCTTTAAGTGCTTGAGAGTAGAAATGTAAAGGCCCAGAGAAAGGAAATGTAAAGGCCAGGTAGCTCTCCTGAGAACTTGAATTTATGAGATGATTGATGCAAAAGCATCATGAGAGTCACTGAATCTACACCCAACAGCACATTTCTTCAAATGCTCCTCAACAAAAGACCAAGAGATGAATCCTCTTGGGCATTCAGGGAAGATATTTCTTGTAGGCCCCATCTCTTCTTCATATGCAAATACCTATTCTGGAAGACATTATCCTCATTTATATATAACTGACCTTTAATGGACTTCTACATACTGGGCATGGCTTTCTCTCTATCTAACTTTTATAATCTAGGTCTTTGCCCAGCTGGGAGTGGTGCCACTTGCCCACAATCCAAGCTGTTCTACAGGTGAGGCAGGAGGATTATAAATCTGAGGCCAACCTGGGCAACTTAGTGAGACTGTCTCAAGAAAGTAAAAAGGCTCATGAAAGGGGATTTTTCCTAGAGTGCATGAGGTTCTGGGTTCAATCTCCAGCACTACACGTATCGAGGTCAATTATACCCTTTAGAGAACTTTCAATGTTTTTTGATATCTGCAGCTGGGAAATAGAAGCAGAACAGTCAGAAGTTCAAGGCCAGCCCTGGATACATAGTAAGTTTAAAATATGAACTACCTGAGCTCTTATCTCAAAAAATACACAAACAAGCAAGCAAAACAAAAGAGATAGGTATGACCATTTAAGCATAGTAACTTTAGGTGCATTCAGTACACCACCATAAAATGTCACCATTTTTCAAGAAAGTCTACAATAACTATCTCTCATTTCTCAAACTGAAGAAGGAAGGGGTGAAAACTGTCAAAATTCGGGGTGAAGACTGTCAAATTTCAGGAATATTCCATTGAATAATGTCTATATAGCAAATGATCCCTTTTTTCTTTTTCTAAGAAGTGAATAGTTCTTTTTATACTTCAAAAGTATGTCACACAGTTTACCCTTTAGTCTGTCCATCTATATTTGCAAGTGTTTATTACAGGAGTCATTGGTCTGTTTTGAGGCCTCTAGTTTTTGCTACACCACTAATAATGGGCTCTCACTGGGTTCCTCTTGGATATCCTGTTGTTGTCTGGTGTCATGGAGACCCTGCTGTTTTGGATCTGAGTTTGGTTCCTTTCACATGCTCCAACATTCATAGGTTCAGTAGCTGTTGGGGTGGGCCAATTCATAGGCCTTGTTGGTCAACTTGCTAGTTTTCCTTCATTGACCCTACATAGAAGAGCTCCCCAGCACTGCCTCGGCTAGTTTGCCCAATGAAGCCTACAGCAAGCAGCTGGGACCAGTTCTCC